CTGGAATATTTTCTATTTATAAACAGTTTAGTGCTTATTGGAATTGGCTGTTGTTCACATGTGGTATTCAAGTAATTTTCGGAAAAAAAAGATGTAAATTACCCGATGTAGTCCGGCCACGACGACACTTGGTTGTGTGACACAACCCACTTGGTTTAGCCAAATTAGGTATAGTGATGTTGGGAATTATATGCCTAGTCCTATAAAACCCCATATTTTATTTGAAAATTTATATGATAAAAAGATATAAAGATTGTCATCGTCTGATGCGGCGCTGTGCTAGGAATTAGATGATCTCTGGTTAGAATCTATTACACAATAAATTGCCGTGTGAAAGTCCAACACACAAGCTTCCCAGTGACCCAGCTTTTTGATACAGATCCACTAATGAGGCGGCACAGAGGAGGATATCAAAGGCAGGATTGGAAAAGCAAAAAGAAACCTTCATTACTCTGAATTAATCAATGTGGAAACCTGCTTCACTCAACATATGGAATAAAATTCAGAACTTCAACACTAACCTCAAAGAGATCCTTCTATATGGCTCAGATAGTTGTCGCGCGTGTCACAAAAAGCATTTCCTACAGGCTGAAAACCTTTACCCCAACAATTGCTTTCGTTGACTCGATAATGAAGATTAGCTAACCGGTTAAAAAGGAAAAGATACGCAATAAGGAACTCTAACAGACTACAAACCAACTAATAGCCTATCGCTCAACAGACATGCAGAAGAAAATGAAGGCGGATTGGATGTAGATTAAGGAGGTTGTTGAGTGACTCACACGCCAGCCATGCAAACCCTCTAGTGAAACCCTAATGAGAAACGACGAATTGGTCATGGGTTGACATGGAGGAGATCGTGCGAGCTGAAGGGAATGAAAGCTTATAGGCAATTGTGTAGCCAGCTGAAAAAGACTATAGAGAAGAGGGTGTAATGGAGATGTGCTAGTGAAGCCCTATATTCCAGTGGGAACTCAAGGGAATAATATGATAGTAATAAAGGCTAGTTAGCCGAATTTCTGGTTACAAAAAAGGTAATGCATACTTATTCAAACAAGCATATCACTAAACCGAAGTTGACTGCGCAAATGATGCTGTATCCTTCCTCTTTTGATCCTTTATTCTGACCGTGTATTTGATAACTTGCTTAGATTACATTTCCATGGCTAAACTGTATTGTATTTCCTTTCCCCATCGGTCTAAATAAAAGTGTTTATTTCTCCCGGAGTTAAATTACAGCATTCTTAAGAATGTCAATCAGATCCTTGTAAACTAACACCTGAAAAATAGTTTAATTACTGAATACTGGATGAAGTCGCATGTGAAAGTCTAGTGGGAAGTCATAACCACCGGGGTCCACCAACTTAGGTTCCACTGGCTGAGTAATCTATAGGTTAACCGTGTAACCGGAAGATTCGAACCTCTGCAGATACGTACCACCGGAGAGTCCCAAACTACAACGAGACAGCTGTCCAGTACTCCCTGGTTTCCCAATGTCGAATGTAGTGGAACTTTAAAACTAGTCATGTTGCACATCACATCTTTACATAGTCTAATCTATTTGAATCATTATCCAGCTACTCTGACATTTCACATCAATCAAAATTCTCTGTATGTGCATAGTAGAAAACACCCCTTGTATTTAATTGTCATTAGCCTGTTAAAAAGGAAAAAAAGACTATTGCGTCTTTTTTCTTGTCTCGCCTGTCTATATCCTAAATTTCTATACTGTTGTTATTGTTGTTGTTTTTAATTCTGTTCATCTTCATTAAAGGACGCTTTGTGATGATTTGCATGCTATAAGCGTATATATAATGACTACTATTTAATTGTTGATGGTGGTTAGTCAGGTAAGCGTGGTGTGTGTGTTTTTTCTTCACTATTTCCTCCACTCCTTAACAAAATGCTATCTGACCACTTTTTTGTTTTGTTTTGTTTTTTGTTATGCACAATTCTATCGATCATTTCTCTCTCTCTCTCTCCTCTCTCCCTCTCCTTACATCTCTACCTCTTGGTTCCCTCCTCTTTGCCTCTCTGTCTCTGTGTTGTTGTTTTTCTCTTCTGAAAAATATGTTTTCCAACTGCTTCTCAGCTAACAACACTAACCTCTAACCATTATAATTATTCTTGTGAACAAAGAAAATTGGCTAACATTGCAGTGTGTGTGTGTGTGCCTTTTTCAGTTGCTTTGACTTTCTTTGTTCCAATTTGATTTGTTTTTCTAATGCTTTTTGGTGCTTTCTTCAGCCTTGTGCTGTTTTCTGTGCGTCTCTGTGTGTATGTGTGTCGGTGACTTTTGTTATTGTTGTTGGGTGTTGCTGCTGTTTGCCTTGCTTGCTAGTCGTGGTGCTGATGGTGTAATGTGATGTGATGTGATGTGGTGCTCTTTGTAATCATGTGTTTTCATTTCAATTTGTACTTCAACTATTCCAAATTATTTTTATTTTATTTTTATTTTTCAGTTAATAAACATTCTTGATTAATTATTGTGAATATTATGTGTAATTCGATATTTCCTTTTTTTCATTGATTTTTCTGTTTTCATTTGCGGTGAAATTATCTTAACCACGGTGTAATTGTGATTGTGTTATTAGTTATTGTTGTTGTTGTTGATGATGTAGTTTCTGTTGCTATTTCAATACAAATGATTCACAGTGTCTCATTGCTAACATTCAAGTTCATCTATAGATAACTTTTGTTTTGTCCCCCCCCCCCCCCCAATCGCTTAATCACACTTTTAAACTAACCAAAACTTTGATTGACAAAGTGATCTGTAACTTATCAGATGGTTGGAAGCCTGGTTTGACCTAGGTTTCGTGCGTCTTAGCACTCACACCAGTCAACAAGGAACTCATTTCTCTCCTGAGATTCGAACCCCTGTCACTACCCAGTGCTGAAGTCAGAGACGTTACCACTAAGCTACTGGGACTGGCGATCCAACTCCTGTAGGACTAGACACACAATCCTAGTTACAATCTAGTATCCGACCAAACGTATCCAATACAGTCCTACAGAAGGTGAATCGCAAGCCTTAATAGCTTAGTAGTAACATCTCTGACTTTAACACTGGTTAGTGACAGGAGTTCCAAGCTCAAGAGAGACATGAATTCCTTGAAGACTACAGATACACCTTGCTTGCCTGGTGAGTGCCAAGCCCTGTGTTCTATTCGGAACGCGTATTTTTTGTGTGTGAACTTAGTTATCTGAAACAAATGTTTCATGTACCATGATATAAGGCATACTTCTTTTGCAATGATTCATGGCACCAAGTAGTTGTTTTCGCGTTTCATTTGCCTCACACCTATTAGGCCTAAATTGGTCTGAGTAATCGAGTAGTGTTGTTGCTACTTTACACCTCCTACTGTATACAGGTGACGATGAAACAGTCATTGTTCTGTCATTTACTACTTATCTCTAAAAGTTTATCTACTCCCTAAAATTAACCTGACCTTATATGCGTGCAAGTGATTCTAATGAACTGTACTCAAGCACTATGAAGGGATTAGTAGTCTCTTACATGAATTATTATAACTAGATTATATCTTGGTTTAATTTGCTTGTTGGGGGCTAAAAGTCTTGGATTCAGTACTGTGGGTTTCATCCTATCTGTGACTCGTCAACTAGTGGATGTGTTTGTTTCCACACTCTATGTTGTTGGTCTCCCATAATGATGGCAATAGCTTACTTTTGAAGAATGTGTGTAAGTGTGTGTTACTTTGTAAACCTCTGTTTGTTTGTTTTTTTTCTTGAACAATTTCCTCTTTTAAGCAAGTGTAGTAGTTACTATTAATTGTTTCACCTCTTTGATAAATAATTGTAGTAAAATCAAGACAGAATGTTGCGTGATACACATGCTTTGTTTACGCCAGATTACTATCGCCTTCGTCAATGTAGGGATTCCGCCTCCTCTTTTTTTCGCCCATATTCATATAGTTAACAAGTGAACACTCATGCAGAAGTCTATTATAGAAAATAATAATAATGCATGCCTATTTTGATGTGTGTGTGTTGGCCTACTATAGCCTTAAAATGCTACATTAATTGTGTTTGACTTGTTGAATAGCAATAATAACGCGTCTGTGCCTATTTTTGACTGGGTAAATAGTCAGCCGTGTTGTAATCCATTGATTCTCTTCCACTTTCTGCCTTACTGTGTTGTTATAGACGCTTGCTTACTTAACTAATTATATTTGAAAGTCTATTATCATAATATTGTTTGAATGTTTCAAACATTCCGATTATGTCTATTATGGATGTAAAGTAGGCGGTTGAAAAATAACAACAGTGTGTAGTAGTCAGCCATCATTCCTATCGATCCAATTTACTAATTTCGTTTTCCATCTTCCTTGTTTTGTTTCGTGTTTTCTCTCTCTCTCTCAATATTCTCCCACATTATCGATCAATGGTCGTTATTCACTAATAAAATGCAGCATTAAGTGTAAAGGGGATAGTGTGCTTTCTTCCACACACACACATACAAGCATCATCATCGTATTATTGTTTTTATTATTTGTGACTGTATACAGGGTTTGGTTTGTTCTGTTCAACTCCTCTGTTGTTTTTGATCACTTTTATGTCTGTGTTCTTGTTCTCTTGTCGAGTGGTGGTGGTGATAGTTTGTGCATTACGTTTCTGTGTGCTATAACTTTTTTTTGTTTTTTATTTTCCAGTTTCTACTCCATTTGGTTTTCAGTTCACCGTATTCACTTTTGATGTGATTATTGTGTGCTTTATTCACAGCCTCTTGTTTTACAGTGGCGTTGATTATTTTTCATTGTTGCTGGGATTATGTTTTGTAAACATGTGTACAATGTGCGGTTTTTATTTTAAAATATCTATGTCTTAGCAATCATAGAATAATCAGATTTGTGTGAATAACTATTTTAACTGGTGAATAAAGTGTATATATAGAGATATTTAAGTTTACTCCTCCAGCCCCCCCTCCCCATTTTTTTCTGATCATTCTCCACTTTATTTTAATTTACTTTACTTTACTTTAGTATTTATCATTACGAAATCTATTCAGTGGTCCAGTGGGTGGTGATTTATGCCCCAATAATAATAATTTGACAACATCCAGTGATGTAAATTTGGCTAATAGTAAAACTGCTGCAAACAATTCCACTGGTGATTGTTGGAATCCACCAAGTCTACCAATGTAAGTAGTGGATGGTTTATCTTTCTTCTTTTTTTACTGTTGTTGTTGGTGTTTAGTCTGATTGAATTGGTGTCATTTAATCAATTTTTGATACTTAAGAAAACTTTCTATGCTTTGGTTTGTAAGGATTAGTTATGTTTTTACGAGTTGATCACGGATTGATATCAGTTAGAGAACCATTGAAAACCAGGGAGTACTGGACAGCTGCTGTTTCATCATAGTTTTGGGAATCATTGGCAGTACGCCAATGACTTCCTACAGGATGGAGTTTCCTGCAGTTCTAGTGAGAAGTCGTGACCATTGAGGTCCATCCAGATGTCACGTGTGAGGATGGATGTCCCACCGACGACACTGGTTGGGGTCACGCTAAATCACGAATTGGTAGAAGTTAGAATTCATGAGCCATTGAATCGGGTCTCAGTGGCTGAATGGTATACGAGCTTGCCTTGTAACCGGAAGGTCCTGGGTGGGTGCGTACTGCCGATGATTCCCAAAACTAGGATGAAACAGCAGCTGTCCAGTACTCCAGCGCTGGTTTTCAATGGTTCTCTAACTGATATCAATCCATGATCAAATCGTAAAAACTTATTAAAACGATCAATTGTAGTTAACTTGCTTTGTATGTTATATGTTCTGCATTAGTTATTTATTGACTTGATCAGTGATTTCACCTTGTGTTTTGTTTAGTTTTAAGCATTTCTCATGGATTTCAATTGTTAGATTTTTGTCACAAACCAACACTGACAGCTAGAGAGAGAGAGAGAGAGGTGATTGAAAACTGGGGAGCGCTGCATAGCTGTTTCATCAGTGTCCACCAACGACCCCGCTGGAGATCGAACCTGAGACCTTTAGTTCATGAAACCAAGCTCACTGACCATTCAGCCACTTGGACTGGAATTCTACGATCGATAAATTCTAACTTTGTCAACCCCGTAATATAGCGCTGCCCTCAACTAATGCCTTCGATGAACATTAATTGATGGGCTCCACTGGTCACGACTTTCCACTGCAGCTTCAGAAAATCCATCCACTATTAGCCATCAGTGAGCTGGTGATTAATATTCACATTATAGGATCTTATAATGTGAATTTCATGAGTAGTTTTCCGTCTCTATGGCAATGGTGTTCTTGCCATTAAGTTAGCACAAGAAAGGCAGTTTGACTAACAATGGTATTCACTCACTGTTACTGCTTATTTACAAGTTAAAGAATATTCATTTAGCTACAGAAACTCAATATAACATCTCTCAATTGAGCTTGGAAATGCAGCTCATTGGTTTCAACCAAATAGATCTAAGGTTCGAATCCCAGGAATAAAAATAAACATTTGTCTTTGAATAGTAAGCATTCCATTGTGTGTGTTCTATCATATTTTTACATTGCCAACTGCTCTATACATAAGTATTTGAAGGGGCTTACCACTCGGCATTTCTATTAGGCCTGTTTTGATGTCTTTTAGTCTTATGATATGTGATTGATATGTACCTGTCACAACTCAATAATAAGCCTAGCAACTTGATTGAAAAGGTTAATTTTTTTTATAACGAATAAGTACAAAATATCACAGACATGTGATACAGGCCTTTGGTTGCCTCAACAACTATTTGCCTAGTGAAATCAATACCCCCAAAGGTGTATATCATTAATATGTGTGAAATAATAAAATGATAACTGTTTGCCAATTTTTAAATATACACCTAAGAACTAGTTGAAATAATGGATGGTGATTTAATATGTCTCTGTATACGAGATGCATATGTGGATATTATAGTATTTTCGTTTCAGTTCACTTTATTAAAAGGGGGTACTGAGCAATTGTTCGCTTAAACAGAAGGTTAACTGAACGTAAACGACATGTTGCTGTTAGGCTACTCAAGTGCATCAAGATAAATCTGTCCAAATAATACTAGTTCACTCACTATGTCCTATGTCGTCTATTTGACTGACTTAACAACATCCTGTTTACTTCTAGTCCAGAAGATACTACAGGAAAATTACAGAATTTTACTAAAATGTTACTGTATAAATAATCGTTTTTCAAAATTAATTCAACGTTATGAATACAAGACATACCCAAAATATCGAAGCACATTGTCAAAGGTGAAGAGGTAATTCTCAAACTCTGATCAGCAAGCAATGAAGGCGTAAAGCAGCTTTTGGTGGAACATAATATTTAGTTAATCTCATATTCTCAGAGAACTTCACCTAGTTTTCTAGCCGGTCCTAAGTCTGGAAGGAGAGGGAAGGTTGTGTTGAGTGCTAATGGCTCAATAGAGAAAAAATAAACCTATTCCTTTCTAGAATCGGGAAGACAGACTGACGCCAATTGATAAATGACTTCAGAAAGCCAGTCAGATAATGTGTCTACTTTCGACGAAAGTAAAAATAAGCATGAAGATATGGAATGCTTACACTCTGTTTGAGCACGGGAAGGCTATTCAGATTGCCAAATAGTGGGACCCGAACAGGAAGCAACGAGTTGCGTGTCCATGGGTGAAACGAAGAAGATCATGTGAAGTTGAGGAGATAATATCTTATGGATAACCGTGTAACCAGTTAAAATAGACTTCAAATAACAGGATGAAATGGAAATGTTCTGCTGAAGTCCTATTTTCCATATGGAAAGCATGGGAATAACACTAATATACTCAGAGTAAATGGAAACCTTCTTTTCATTGGAAAGTCCTCACGAGAACTGAAAAATGGTGTCAAATCCGATTCATGCATTTTTGACACTACTACGAGTAGCAAGTCCTTCACATTTGTTAAATGTGTATAGTCTTTAATATTACAGCAGTTAACTTTCGTTTTGAGAATACTTTTAGTGATACACTTTTGTAACCGTGTTGTATGTATTTGTTTATAGTGGAGTGGAGGGAAGATTTTTTTTATTCAAGCGTTGGTTTGCAGGGATTTGATTGGCTTCAGGAACTGACATCGGTTTAAAGACCATTGGAAAATCTGGGAGTACTGAACAGCTGTTTCGAGCTGAGCTTCGAACCCAGGGCCTTACTGTTACAAGGCGTGCTCGTTGACCACCCAGCCACTGGGATCCAATCCAATAGTCCATCAATTCCAACTTCTGCTAATTCATGATATGGTGCGACCACTATCGAATGTCATTGGTGAGCTCGCCTTGTAACCAACAGGTCTTGGGTTCCAAGCGCAGTGAGTGTGCACTACTGAAGAGTCCCAAACTAGGACGAAGCATCTGCCCAGTACTTTCAAGTTTTCCAAGGGCCCTCTAACTGATGTCAGTTCATGATGAAATCCTGAAGATTTTTTGTTTCCAGCTTTTTGTTAACAATATATACCGTTTTCCAACTGAACAGCCTGTTTTCTTGTTAAATTCATAAACTTTCAGTGTAATTGAAGTCAAAATTATTACTATTATGTTTCAATATTCATTCATCTGTTTTATGTATCTAAACAATAAAATTCAGAAGTAGTGTAAACAGTCAATGCTTTTAACAGTAAAGGTTGTGCATATATCGATTAGTGGAACGAAGCTAAAATGTAAACAATTGCTATTGGGCTTCATTCAATCTTCCTCTGTCCAAAGTTATTTTATTTCGTCAAAATGTCACTAAAAAACTTTAAGCCGTTGCAGTTATTTGAAGGTAAAGAAGAAAAAAAAGAGAGTTTAATATAATGGAAAGCTTACTGAAGCGATTGAAGTGAAGATAGGAGTAACAAAAGTTTGCCTACTATCATCGAGGATCTACGTATTTGCTATGGATGGAATCATAAAACAGACCATTAGGAAGTAAGACGATTGGGACACCGTCGGACGAACGAAAAGACTCCAGATGGTATATATTTCACTGATGATTTCTGTCTCACCTTGCACAAACTGAGACATAAAGACGAAAACTAACAAGTCGACAGAAGAATCAACGAGGATACAACTTTAGGTAAACATAGAGGTGATGAGAATGCCTGACCAATAATAACAACAAACATCAACTACCATCAGCCAGAAACATCTAAAAGAATTTGTCTCCTTCACTTACCCGACTAGGAACCATCGTTTCAAATATAGTTAGCACACCTGAGGATATCAAAGACTGCGAAGATCTTATCGGGTAAGCAAGACAAGCGTTCACTACTCTAAAATCAGTGTGGAGATCTACAGCAGCCAATACGACAAATGATATCCGGATTTTTAACTTTATAATCTAACAGATCACTGCTTTCAAAGGATTCAGAGACGTGACACGTTCGTCACCAAAAGTGCATTTCTAACAGCCTTTGGCAGACTTTCGTCAACAGATATTTTCACTGGATCACTGTTGATTATCAGATGGATTGGACATACATCGAAGGGACTTTCGAGTTACATCACTCAAGGGACAGGCCTTCTGAACATACCACAAAAGTTTATGAACAGTCATAGAGACAATGAATTTTAATGGGATGTAGATGCGCCACTAAAGCTCTATGTTCCACTTGGGACACAAGGGATGAGTAACAATAATAATAACAGTTACTGTGTTAATGAATAATTTCATTATTGCTTCCATATTACTGTTCTCCTAATAATAAGTGCACTAAATGCAGTTAGCAATGTATTGTAAATTGGCAGAATTTGGAAATTATGCGTTGTGGTGATGAGAGTCTAACTTGGTAGTGTAACAGTGATCTGGTCGTTACTATCCCTCATACAGATGTATATGCAGATTACGGAAAAGTTAAGAAATACAGCAAATCATGCTGTTTCTAGTGATTCTGTGATAGCGTTGAAATATCCCTTATCTACGTTTATAGAGAATTAAGGCCTTTGCATGTTACCTGCTATTGTTATTGAAGTATTCCCAAGTATTTTTAAATTTCGCATCTAAGATTAAATTATGACAATTCAGTTGTTTGGTTTCATTGTTTATTTAAATTTCCACCCTGAAAAACAAAAAGAAACACCTTCTGGATGTCGAAATACACTTTCTTTTTATTGTAATTCTATATATGCAACATCTTAGTTGTTCTGGGAATGACATCTTCCA